TCTTTAATTTACGCCCCTCTTACGTAGATTAATTCTTCCTTGTATTAACCCTCAAGTTTCCTATAATCTTTTTGAGTGTAGAGTAGATAAATGATTCAGATGAAAGATACTAGTTATTGTGACTGACTTTAACGTTTATTATTAGACTTGAAGTTTGATGATAATTGTCTCTGTCTGCCCAAATAATCTGTGTATTGTCATCTCTGAATTATTTTAATATAGGGTATATTATGAAATTCCGTTTGTCTGTGCGTCATTTCTTGGGTTTCGTTCTTGAAAATGATAGAATTCACTACTCAGTAATGAAGACTGATTTAAAATCAATGAATTATTTCCTGTAATAAACAGGTGGTGCCCCTTTTGTTATGCTAATAATTACGAGGTATTTATGATATAATATTGTCCATAACATCGACAACAGCGTATCACTACAAATATCCCTACATAAAACACTTGCTTCTCTGGTTAAATACATTCGATGTCGTAGGCAGCTGTTTAAAGCTCTTCCTGAGTATGTGTGGGATGTTTTGGACTGCAGAGCCTGTGTCTGTGTTTCCTGCTGCAGGTGGAGATGAGGCAGGCTTTCCAGGAGGCAGGTTGTGTGTTCTGCATCATCACACCCTACAACCCATGTGTCGGTTCTGTCCGAGGTCCACGCTGACCTCACACACCTGTCACTGCTTGGTCAGACCACCTGAGGCTCACAGTCCTCAGTCAGACAGCACTGCCCCCCCCCCCCACATATAAATAAATCAGAAAACAACAAATCAGTACTTTGACTCGATTAGTTTTTATCAAATGGAAGTCTAGAAGCTAAATGTTGGAAGAAGAAAATCATTCTGGTTCTTTAAATCACAGAATCCAGCTTTATAGAAAGCTTAGCATAATTTAATGTGTCAAGTTTTTCTAAACGTGGAAAATGATGTCATTGTTTTCTACATGTATGATATAATTCTGTAGATTTTATGGACTCGATCTGTTTTATTATGATTGTAATTTTTGTTCTGCAAATAAAAGCTCTTTATAAACTTGTAATATGTAATCGGTCATTCAGGGCGGGGTTTATCAAAGAAAGTTCAAAGTAAATAAATGAAATAGGACAGCTGTATTTCATGCACCACAGCAGCTGGTGTGGAGCAGTGGTGCCTGCAGAAAAAAAAAATTGGGAGAAGGGGTGGGGGGGCACTGAAAAACCAGGGGTGGCACTCCAAAATTAATATCTATAACAGAAATTTTATGATGTGTTTGTAAAAATGACAAATTGAAAACTATGGCAATATAAAGCTATGGATTCGCCAACAGATGTTAAATTTGTAATTTCACAGATAATATCACTGATTTTATGACATTCAGAGACAAAAAACAAGAGTTAGTATTTGTTATGTTGGAAGGAACCACTGGTGGGGGGTCTGGGGGTCCTCCCCCAGAAAATGAATAAGTAAATGTCATTTCCTGCATTCTGGTGTATTTTAACAGGTTGTTAAACAAATTTTTACCTACATAAGAAAACACTTAATGTGAGTATTTTATAGGTAAAATGAAATAAATTTATTTGTTAAACAAGAGAAACAACACTGGATGAACTAATGTTTTTATGGTAAATGTGGGGGTTTAATAAATTTTAAATTTGATGGGGACAGTTC